CTGAGAAAATGAAACAGTTTTTGGGATTCATATGACACATGTTTATCGAAGGTGAGTTGCGCTATCGTAAAGTTGATGTTGTGATGAAAACAAACATATATAACTTGAAAACTAATAGATGTGCCATAATACTGAGCGTGCCAGGATTTGAACCAGGGAATCTTCTGATCCGTAGTCAGACGCGTTATCCGTTGCGCCACACGCCCTGTTCCCCTTTGATGCGATTGCCTAACACTCGTGACACGTATTGAAACAATCGAAATACATAGGAATTAAAAGTTAAGTCAATTGAATTCTGGATATTCAGAGTTTTGAATTATAGTATGCGTTGACTGTTTGGCCGTAACGCTCGTCGGTCACAACAGCGTTCATGGATGATAGTTTTGAGACATGCACATTTTTGAATGGCAGACACTCCAGCCGATTCATTTGACCTGCAGATGCTCACATGCTCAGAGGTCCCACCCGTGCTCACCAATGGCAGGTGTGAGAAAATGGAACAGATTTTGGGATTCATATGTCACATGTTTATCGCAGGTGAGTTGCTCTGTCGTGAAGTTGATGTTAAGATGAAAACATACATATAGAACTTGGAAACTAATACATGTGCCATTATACAGAGCGTGCCAGGATTCGGACCAGGAATCTTCTGATCCGTAGTCAGACGCGTTATCCGTTGGGCCACACGCAGTGTTCGCCTTTGATGCGTTTGCCTAACACTCGTGACACGTATTGAAACAATCGAAATACATAGGAGATAAAAGTTAAGTCAATTGAATTCTGGATATTCGGAATTTTGAATTATAGTATTCCTTGACTGTTTGGCCGTAATGCTCGACGGTCACAATAGCGTTCATTGATGACAGTTTTGAGACATGCAAATTTTGGAATGGCAGAATCTCCAGCCGATTCATTTGACCTGCAGATGCTCACATGCTCATCGGTCCCATTGGTGTTCACCAATGACACGTGTGAGAAAATGAAACAGATTTTGGGATTCATACGACACATGTTTATCGCAGGTGAGTTGCTCTGTCGTAAAGTTGATGTTGTGATGAAAACATACATATATAACTTGAAAACTAATACATGTGCCATAAAACTGAGCGTGCCAGGATTCGGACATGGAATCTTCTGATCCGTAGTCAGACGCGTTATCCGTTGCGCCACGCGCCCTGTTCCCCTTTGATGCGATTGCCTAACACTCGTGACACGTATTGAAACAATCGAAATACATAGGAATTAAAAGTTAAGTCAATTGAATTCTGGATATTCAGAGTTTTGAATTATAGTATGCGTTGACTGTTTGGCCGTAACGCTCTTCGGTCACAATAGCGTTCATGGATGACAGTTTTGAGACATGCACATTTTTGAACGGCAGACACTCCAGCCGATTCATTTGACCTGCAGATGCTCACATGCTCAGAGGTCCCACCGGTGCTCTCCAATGGCAGGTATGAGAAAATGAAACAAATTTTGGGATTCATATGACACATGTTTATAACATGTGAGTTGCTCTGTCGTAAAGTTGATGTTGTGATGAAAACATACATATATAATTTGAAAACTAATACATATGCCACAATATCGAGCGTGCCAGGATTTGAAACTGGAATCTTCTGATCCGTAGTCAGACGCGTTATCCGTAGCGCCACACACCCTGTTCGCCTTTGATGCATCTGCCTAACACTCGTGACACGTATTGAAACAATCGAAATACATAGGAATTAAAAGTTAAGTCAATTGAATTCTGGACATTCCGAATTTTGATTTATAGTATGCTTTGACTGTTTGGCCGTAACGCTCGTCGGTCACAATAGCGTTCATGGGTGACAGTTTTGAGACATGCAAATTTTGGAACGGCAGAAACTCCAGCCGATTCGTTTGAACTGTAGATGTTCACATGCTCATCGGTCCCACCGGTGTTCACCAATGACACGTGTGAGAAAATGAAACAGTTTTTGGGATTCATATGACACATGTTTATGGCATGTGCGTTGCTCTGTCGTAAAGTTGATGTTGTGATGAAAACATACATATATAACTTGAAAACTAATACATTTGCCATAATACCGAGCGTGCCAGGATTCGAACCAGGAATCTTCTGATCTGTAATCAGACGCGTTATCCATTGCGCCACACGCGCTGTTCGCCTTTGATGCGTTTCCCTAACACTCGTGACACGTATTGAAACAATCGAAATACATAGGAATTAAAAGTTAAGTCAATTGAATTCTGGATATTCAGGATTTTGAATTATAGTATGCGTTGACTGTTTAGCCGTAACGCTCGTCGGTGACAATAACGTTCATCGATGACAGTGTTGAGACATGGAAATATTGGAACAGCAGAAACTCCAGTCGATTCAGTTGACCGGCGGATGCTCACATGCTCATCGGTCCCACCGGTGTTTACCAATGACACGTGTGAGAAAATGAAACAGATTTTGGGATTCATGTGACACATGTTTATCGCAGGTGAGTTGCTCTGTCGTAAAGTTGATGTTGTGATGAAAACATACATATGTAACTTGAAAACTAATACATTTGCCATAATACCGAGCGTGCCAGGAATTGAACCTGGAATCTTCTGATCCGTAGTCAGACGCGTTATCCGTTGCACCACACGCCCTGTTCGCCGTTGATGCGTTTGCCGAACACTCGTGACACGTATTGTGTCACGCGAGAATCAGTCTTGAAATTAGATTGGTATACAGGTGCATGTTGTGAATGAAGAAACAGGTGTATCTTATATTTAATTTATTCAAAATCCCTTTGTTGTGTTTGCGTGGTGTGGTCGGAGGACACGTCACTCTGACTCAGGACGCCGCACTAGCAGGACGGGCTTTCAGTCGTCCGTGTGCAAACTGAGAGACGAGCCAACACGTTTATCACGGGGCACCTTATGCAAGTCCAGGTATAAGCTGGGGCCAGGTTATTGTGGGAACATATATTCCTTTATTTCTGGCGGAAACCGTGTAGGGTGTCATAAATGAACCCGGTGTTGTTGGGAGACAGCGTTTACAGGAGGAAAAATTGTACAAACTCAGCAAGCTGTGCTCCGGGGGCTCGTCTGTACAGAGTATCATTGACAATTGTGACTACAACATTCTTGTAACTTTTACATTAATTTTTTTGTAATTTATGTATAACTATAGCATCTAAATGAAGCACAAGCTGTTTATACTTTACACAGGATAATGTACGTACATCTATGACAAAATTGTATGAAGTACTGAGAATAGTATGTAGCCATATTGTATCTTTCTCATCATTGTATACTTTATTGAATAGTGCCACTTATTGGACCTATGCTCTTGTATGGCGAAGCTTAGAACCGACCGTACTACCAAACTTGAGCTTATTCGAACTAGACATCATCTACCGGAATCTGACGATATTGATGGACTGTAGCCTGTGATATCATGTACCGGAACTAGCCAAGTTCGACTGTCATCGTATCCTCAACCCGTGCTC